GCCCCAGAGTGTCGTTTTGGAGTGAGGAGAGAAATATTATGTTTCCGTACTCTGAATGGGGACAGATAAAACTGCTGAAGATTATGTGGAAAGTTCTTCTGTCAAAATGGCCAAAAATGCGCTTTATTGTTATCAGTGCAAGATTTGCTGGAAAGGCATGTTTGTCTTAGTTAGCGTAAGACCTCAAATCGTACGGTACATTAAAATTTCGATGTTTTAAATATGAAGTGAGCCAGTCGATTAAAAGTGATTTGATACCCAAGACATATATGGTTGACCCTATCAAAAGCCTTTGAGAAGTCAAGGTAAATGACGTCAACCTTTCCCTTGCAATCAGGGATGATTGTCATCCTTCCACCACAGTCAGTAGGTTGGTTATACAAGAATGATTCATCCTGAAACCATGCTGTTGGGGTGAAAAGAAGCTTAAGGATAATAAGTAATCGTGTATGCCGTCACACATCAGGAACTTGATGATGCTGCAGTTTCCGGCATACTAAGTCAGCGCTCAGGCTCGCTTCCGAAAGTCCTGTGCAGTTTCAGATGAAGCTGTTATCAATAATGTTAGTGAAGGTCAGTTGAATTGACCGAGAGTACTGTTCAGCCAGGAGATTAGCCGCGTCACCATCGTTGTTGGTTGAGCCATTAGGACCTAGCAATCGGGAAACTAGTTTCGGCTTGTCGAAGAGAGGCTGCATAACGGAATAAGCTTTTCGGATTAGAGACAAATTTATCCATAAGCTTTATCTGGTACTGAAGCCCGTCTTCTTTTATTGCTTTTTGCATATGTTCTTTATATGTTTGTATTGCCTGTATGCGCCGTTGTTACCAGTCCATTTGTATTCCACCCGACAGTGCCTTTTGCGGCTTAGCAGACGAAGAGTGCGGTTATTGAGGACTGTAGGTTGACTGGAAAATTTGGAAACCATTTGAGGAAGAGACTAATTTGTAGCACATAAGATCGCGTGCAGCAAGAATCCCAATGAGCATCCACATCAAGTTGAGGGTGAATTTCCCAATCCATCTGTTGTAGATTGTCCTGTAAAGCTGACACAATCAACCGTTTGAAATTCCAGAGCCCGTTGTTGGTGGAATGTCTCAGCTCAGTTTCGCTGACAAACTAAAGGCTATGATGGCTTGATCACTTTTCCTCAGGGGAGCCAGGGTTCAGAAGTTGCCAATTAGGAATTCTTCGTTTGTAAATACACAGTCTAAGCGCGACGACGAGTTGCCGACTTCATATTTTCGAATAATCCTAGATCCTCAATGAACTAGAGGAACCGAGCTTCAGTAGAGTTTTCACTTCCAATATTCATATGTTCCGCGAAATTCACTAGGGATTGAAGTCCCCCAGAATCAGTATATGAATGAGTCCGAGAAGAGTAAAGCGGGATAATCCTTCCAGCATACGATTGTCGTACTTGATGTCGGCAGTGGGCTTCCTGTAGACACCTCTATGTGGTGGACAAACTTAATGAGCACCATACGGATTCATCAGGATTAATGAACTCTTGGTTGTGTACTTGATACACCTCCAGACAGGATCACAAGTATAAGGCTGCTCCACCTCCAATTTCTGTTTTTCTGTCATGTGGAACAGAGACATTGTGGATATTGCTAACTCCTGACCCATAAAGTGAGAAGACATCCAAGTTTCAGGTACTCCGATGATACGGGCATTGTTGGCATTACTGAGTTCACGTAGCCCATCCATTTTATTCGGTAAACTCGCGGAGTTTAGGTAGAGGCAGTTTATGCTTTCGATTTGAAACGCGTGTGCTTCCCTGTCCTGTTTATATGTATGAGTCTTATGTGAATGGACAGGTAGCCTACCTATACAAGGTTTTCCAATTTAGTAGCCACTGTCCTTTCCACATTTTTTCATGATCAAAACAGTCCACAAGTGTAACGGCTAGCTCCAGTTTGACTTTGTTATTGATCATGTAGCCTATCCGGATGCCTATGGATTCCAGTTGGCAACCGACATCTATTTGCACGAAAGGCTCTCAGAGTTTCAGCCGCCATAAAAGAGTATGGGAAGGTTATCTTCACCAGCCGGTGTCTAGAATCTCCGTCAATCTTGGCCAGTAGCATCACTGGTTGATTCAATATGTTTTTGGGCTTTAGGGATTGCTTGATGAACTTCCATTCCCTAACATCGGAGTTGTGTGGTCAGGGTCCATGTTTTCCGGTACACCTTGGAAAATAATATTTCTTCCGCGGGAAAACTTCTCGCGAAATTCCTTAGGAAACAGTGCAGTACCCTAGGATATCATAATGATGGGAGCAGACAAAATGACATCAAGTTCACAATAGAACAGGAGTCAAACAACCAACCAGCATTCATGGATATATTGATCACCAGAACTGACACAGGAAAACTGGAAACCCAAGTATATAGGAAACCGACCCATACAGATCAAATTCTCAACTACAACAGCAACAACTCAAGAGCTCACAAAATCAACTGCGTACACACACTGTTCAAGAGAGCGAGGACACACTGCAGCACACTGACAGCACGAAAAAATGAAGAGAAATACCTGAAGGACATATTTCAAAAGGACGGCTACCCAATCAACTTCATCAAAAAGCACCAACGGCACACAGCATCAGAACCTAAGTCAAGCACAAAAATCAACAAAAGGATCACCCTACCGTATATACAAGGAATATCAGAAACCGCAACGAGACTGCTGAAAAACTTCGGGATAAGTGTGGCACACAAACCAACAAAATCACTACAATCAATCCTATGCGAACCAAAGGATAACAAAGGAAAACAAATCAAACATCATCTACAAAATAAATTGTGCCAACTGCGAAAAACACTACATCGGACAAAGCGGACGCCCCCTCCACCTACGCCTACATGAACATCAATTAGCAGTCAAACGCCATGATATCTCTTTACTTATATCAATAAACGTGGATAACTACGGACACTCATTCGATTGGGAAAATGTAGAAATCTTAGACAGAGGAAACTCCAAAAACACCAGAGAATTTTTAGAAGCCTAGCACTCAGGTCAATCAGCAATCAACAAACATATTGAAATCAATCCAATTTATCAACCAATCAGGAAAATCATGCATAAATATAGGAACAAAAATCAAACCAATGGGAGACACAACCAAAACAAAGAAGTAAACAATGATAAATTTAAGGTCAACAAGAACCAATCAACATCGAGGTGCACAGAACAAGCTGTGAAACACATATGGAGAAATTCGAACACTTCACTTCTATCTGAAGTTTGTGCTGACGATGTCGTTCAGAAGAACGATGAAAGCCCATGACCAAACCATCCAGCTCAGGGAACAACTCCCCCCCAAAAACATGTGGCAACTGTCTATCATGTCCCCAAGCTGCCAAAAACTCTTCGAAATGCAAACCACGGCATTAGTCCACGCCTTCAGGAGCCTTAGAAAGACTTCATGCAGATTTCGTCGGTCTAATTCAAGATAAAATGTTTCTAATTATTGTGGATGTATTTACGAAGTGGCCAGAATATGTAGTATACCTAACAGTACAGCATCAAATACAAACCACAAACTGTCTACTTTGTCCAGCTATTTGGGAGTCCTAGAGACTTTAGTGACTGACAAGGGTTCACAATTCCCTGCACAATCATTCAAGCATTTTTGTAGCATAAACGGAATAACACATCTATGTTCTCCACTCTATCATGCCCAGTCGAATGGACAAGCAGAACGTTTTGCCGATACTTTTAGGCGAGCATTACTGAAAGGGGAAGGGGACGGGATAACCAGACAGGTAATCACAAAATTTTTAACGGCCTATAGAACTACTCCGAACTCAACTGTTTCAGATGAAAAGTCGCCTGCAGAAGCCATGATTGGAAGAAGCACCGCACTATTTTCAACGCCGTGTTGTCACCCAAAATAAAAGATAGGCATAGACCAAATCTTAACATCCGAATTTATAACGTTGCCGGTAAAGTGTTCGTTAAGTCTTACTTCAGAAAGAATCGAATCGGAGGAAATCACAAAGATTGGGAAGAGTTTTGTGCAGAGCTCGAGGAACTTTTGGCACATGTATCAGAAACACAACCCAAGTCCTCAAAGATAGAGTGATGCACACACGAGCTGTTCAGCTGAATCTTCCACACAAGTTAATCTCAGAAACATCAACGGCACAGACAGCCAAAAATACCGTAGGAAGACTCGCAACAGAAATACAGCGAACAAAATGGAATGCCGTCGCAAAGCAGTCATCAGGCTACAAGTGGATCCAAGAAAGAAATCTCATTCCAGGAAGGTATTGGCACGGCTTCTGAGAACTGCGACGGAGACTTCTGAAACCCTAGAACAGCCGAAGAGTTCCACCCAATTAGAACGCAATGAATCTTTCGAGAATATCAACGTTGCCTGCTGCTTTCGGTCAGTAGAACAACATGCCTCTTTGCGATTGACTGAATTATATTTATTTAACAAACGCCAATATCTATAAACACCTGTGATTTTTTGTACATTTTGATTCTTGACCAACAAGCATTTTCTTACAGTCTTCTTTAGAATAATCATTCGCGACATGGGGGCGTTCTAACGTCCGAGTGCTTAAGTTATACGCAGTATATTAAGAATCTAAGTTCTAGATACAACAGAGATCATGGGCCCATTGAAGTTAAACCACCATGGAAATCTTGGAAGCACTGAAGTTCAATTTCGTGGATTACTTAAAGTTAGACATTGACTTCAATTGACCCATAATCTCAACTATTAAAATTCCTATAATATCCACATACCACCCATTCTCATATACATGTGTTAACTGAATAGAATTACAATGGTACAACTTCAGTATATGATATTGTAAATAAAGAAAGGCTTAGAAAAATGGATGATCTTTATTTGTTAATCACTGAAAAGTGAACAAAACGAATGTTCGTAATATAATTCACTGTATTAAAACAAACGATTTATGTGGAAATCAATTAATTATCGAATATATATGAATGTGAATGGTGATTGTTTCACTACGATTGTAAAATTGGATTCATTACTTTGGCTGCCATTATCGGCATTGTTAATTGTTGATCATATATAAAGCATATAAATGGATGAGTTACATGAAAGTCTACTTCTGGTATAATGGCTGAAATAGGCACAAATATAGGTGAGGTTACAGTGGTTGCTTCAATTCCACTTTCATTTAATTTTAATACATTTGTTTGAATAAATTCATTCACATATACATTGTGATTAGGTGTGATACCTGACGGGGAAAATAAACAAAAACATGATGTAATTGAAATAATGTGCTTGAATTTAGAGGTACACATCAAATCGAGAATGCAAGTACATCTTGTTGATGAATATTAAGAATTATTCCATTGTTAGAGATTGATTAAATTTCTATGATCATTTACCCACTAAATATACGATTTCAAACACCCAATTCAATATCCAAGACGTCAAAAATTAACGAATGATTACATATTGAATTAAGGTTCCACTTCTACTGAATTATTCTTTTCCAAAACTGCAGAATTTTTAATCTATGAAACAGAATCGACTGGATTTTGTTTGGGAAATTACTTCCAGTACTACTCTGATGGTTACTTATTTTCTCACATTATCCATGAATAAGTATAATTTAGACGATGTCGAAAGTTAAGTCTTACATATTCATCAACTGTTCTGTTAATTACTATTGCACAGCTCACCTTAGTCTGTTCTATTTCCTTATAAACATTTTGAGAACCGAACAACTTATAATTGATGGTCAAGCGCTGAATTATAAAGAGTTTGGGTCCATCTAACTATTCTCCACATTTCAACTCCACACAAAGGAACTGTTTTTATGTATGTCTTGAGAATTCTGACTTTAGTCTTGGCTGTATATGTGTGTATTATAATTGCGTTTGTATGTGCATTTATGCTCGATCATGGATTACAGCCTACACGCATATTCTGTTCACTAGCATGTTACTTACTTAAATTGTTCCACGACTTATTCGTTTCCCTATAAAATGTGTTTCTCAAATCCGTTCATTAATTTGAGTTCAAATCCTCATTCGTTCTCATTCATTCATAATCGCTTCGAATGCTTGAGATTCATACTGTACATCAATAAACTGTAGTAACCCCGTCCTATTTCCTTTTTAAATCCATTTATCTATTGGAGTTATTTAATAACGGTTATAAGAGCTAGTGAAGGGCTAGTGATAGACCAAGCATAGCAGTTATCTTGAAGAAACCTGTGGTGTTTGAATGAACTAATGACTTCTTTTTGCTTATTGAATGTTTGATTTCGAATTCCAAATACAGTACATTCGTTCGTGCTTATCCAATACTTTTTGATCGAATTGCGTTATTTCTGGGATTCCTAATTTGTACTATAATTCAAATACTCCTGAATAACACAAAACTCCACTACTCATTGACTTCGAACGTTTGAATAAAACCACATAAAATATCTGGGCATAGAAAACATACTAGTAATCTGAGGTGCTAATATCCACTCGACTTCACAATAGAATAATCAGAATTGATAAAAAGAACAATGTATAATATTTTATGTGAATTTACCAACTTAGATATTCTTACCTGACAGATCAGATTTTACTGGATCAAACAAATCGACAACACCGATAGACTTTAATGTTGGCACAAGGTCAAGTGTATTTTTCAATGTGAATTTCGGTAATCGTAATGACACTGTAGTTTCTTTCAAATTCTTTACGTATTCACTTAAAACTTTATTGCCATTCAAAAGTTCTGTGGCACCATTTAACGACCACTTTTCAAGAGGTAACACGATAACAAATGTGAAACGTGTGTTCTGGAGATGTTTGAAGAAAGAAAGAACGAAATGAAATAAATGAGAGTAAGCCTGATATTCTAATTTCTAAAGAAGCAAGCACTTGCAAATGATGAGACCACATGGATTTTCGAACGACTGATTCCTTTGAACAAGCAACTACAGTGCTCTGCACTACGCAAACAGTAAAACAAAACTGTTTGTAGGAGAAAGTCTGTTTCATCCTGCAAAATAAACTCAAAACTCTTTCACGGTATGCTATTAATAGCACTTGTATCCGACAAGTGAAAACAGTTTACTGCAGTCGATTTAGATTACTTCCTTGTGTAAAACAATATCAAACATGTCAAGTTCACACCTGACTACAATCAGTCAAACGGTTTTCGATTCATCACGAAGAGCTATTCAGATAAAGAAACTGTACAAAACTTGTCAAGTTACCGCTTAACGTGCAATTCATCAATATTGAGTCGAGTACCCACAGTAGCATATATTGTTCAGTGAAAAATTTGGACTGTGCTATGCGACCTGATTTCACGAATAAAAGAAATGGGAATGAAGTCATGTTCTTAGAGAGTCAATAAAATCATCATCTACATCAATTTCCTTATCCATACTTGTGTCGCCGGAATTAAAATGCTTTACGATTTCAAATATCACAATGGTGTTGAGGCTACACTACCTAATTATTCGAGATTAGAATAAATCGATTTAAAAATATTTACTATGAAGAAAACGAGATAAAATTATCTACCTAACACAGTGATTAACCCAAAACTTTCAAGTGATCAAAATACAATTATGCTAGGAAAGCTGATAAGTACCATATTCAAATATCTGTGGTATGGTGACTGCTTAAACGTTACAGGTGAGTGATAACAGACAGAAAACTCAGACCTCAGTTTTATATTTTCCTGAGGATTCAAGTACGATACTCTGCAATACAATTTTTTTGTCCGATTATGCCAGATTGATCTAAAATTTAGGATAATCTGTAGGAGTCGAGTTGGGGATGACCATTTTCTTGTTAGCTGGATATGTTTGGATCTGGTCACAAAGAAGACTATCAGAGAAAACTGATTTAACACTTGTGAAATAACTAAGAATCTCTCTTCTACATAAAGTGTTGGCATCATCAACAATCACAATAAAAACTCATGCATCATTAAATCACACAACTCATTTTCACAGATAGTATTGAAGTGTTCGTTTGAGAAGACAGTGTGTCAAAAAAAGTCTGAACAATTCATTACCCGAATATTAACACTTAAATATTGTAATTTCTCAAGAATAATGATATATTGTTCTACATAAGCATCTGATGTACATCATGATGAAGTACTAGTTCGAAAACATAACGTTTAATAATGTGGACTCAGCTCATATCAAATAAATATCATGTAATTCGTATGACTATTCATGTGATCGTCAAAGTTGTCGAAATAAAAATTAAAAAAATCATTTGTATAATTGTTGGGATGAAAATAACTGTTCAATGTAAACAGTTTATTAAAAATGAGTGCAATCTCAAATCGATAAGTCTAATCCAAAAACTCTACAAATAATCAAACATTTATGGTACCAAACTGTAGCACGGGTTAATGAACTGTTAATTTTCAAGTGAATGATGCTAGATAAGACATTTTCTCCACAAAAATTAATCTTGATAATCTATAAAATATGGACTAAACGACTGTCCTGTATTTCCGGGTTTCCAATGATCGTCTAGCTTCAATGGATTCATGAATTCAATCATCAAAATATAGAATAAAGAGACTGACAACCTCTAAACATAACAGGAATTAGAAAAAAAACACTTTTAATTACTAACATTTAATGGTTTACTGACGATCTCAAATCCTTCATCTTCGAATTTTCCATACTTCATTACTCCTTCTTGAGTCATCATATCAACTGTTATTTGACGATCTGATGAAATATGAAAATCCTCCTTTTTAGTGTAATGAGGCTCAAATGGACTTTGCCAAAAATCTGAAATCAACGATAACTGTGTTATTTCGATGAATATGCAGTACAAAAATATTATCTTTTCATTTCACAGTATTTTATGAACTGTAAACATCCCGAAACAAATGACACTCTAATTTGTTTTGGGGTATAATGGAATCTAAAAATTGCTTTGCAATAAGGCGTAAGGAGAAACATGTTAAAGCAGCATTAAAAATGATCATAATACTTTCTGACTGTAGTTACTTACTTATTTGCTTACTCACTTACGCCTGTTACACCCCGCGGACTAGCATTCTGCAACTCAATCTGTACTGGGCCTTCCTTTCTACTTCTATCCAATGTTTGTTCATTTTCCTCATATCTGTCTCCATTTCTCGGAGTAACGTGTTTCATGGTCTTCCCCTTTTCCTTCGGCCTTGAGAATTTCAAGTGAGGAATTACCTTGCGACGCAGTTGGGTGCCTTCCCGAATGTATTTCCTATCCACTCCTAGCACTTCCTCCTGATTTCTTCCTCCGCTAAGATCTGATTTGTTCTCTAACATAGTAGGTTAATGCTGATAGTGTCTGGCCAACGGATCCGACGTATTTTGCATAGACAACTGTTAATGAACACTTGTATCTCGTGAATGATTGCTTTGGTAGTTCTACAAGTTTCTACCCCGTACAGTAGAACTGTTTTGACATTGGTATTGAAAATCCTTACCTTGTTATTGGTTGATAGTTGTTTTGGTTTCCAGATGTTCTGCAATTGTAGATATGTTGCTCTTGCTTTGACGATCTGTACCTTCACATCCGCATCAGGTCCGCCGTGCTCGTCAATGATGCTACCCAGATATATGATGGTTTTTACATTTTCCAAATCTTCTCCGTCAGGTGTGATTTGATTGGTGCGTGCTGTGTTGTATTGGAGAATTTCGCTTTTCCTTTGTGTATGTTGAAACCTTCCGCTGCTGAGGCTGCTACTACACTGGTCGCCTTCTCCTGCATTTGTTGTTGTATGTGCGATAAAAGAGCCACATCATCTACGCAGTCTAGATCGTTCAGCTGCATCGTAGCTGTCCACTATACCTCGTGCTTCCCTCCAGATGACATAATGATTGAGAATAATGGAGTTGGAAATGAGAGTTTAGAAAAGTTCACAATCTGCTTGATCAATTCATGGTATCAATCCAAAATAAGTAGCAGATTATCTTAATTTATAGTCGATTTATTTATTAGTTCAGGTGAAAAATTTATGAATCACCTGAGTGTTTGTGAAAATTTTTCCCTACTCATGGCTACTATCAGGGTATGGCGAAAATTATTCCAAAAGTAAGGACTGTGAAATCGTTGTAAACTATTTCGAGACTACACTGTAGTAGTGTAGTGACCGATAACACAAGTGGGGACAATCGAACGTATTTGAATACAAAATAAAACATTTTAGTAAAATTTGGAAACTATAAATTAAGTAATTCATCTGCAAAATGTCAATCAACCGTCTCAGAATTCATTGTTCTTTCGTTTCCACACTAATCACTCTGATTTCGTTCTCTTTTCTCCGATCTTCTTAACCTTTTGCCGCAAACCAGTGTAGTATAGTGGTAACTATTGCAAAATCCATAACCATCTTATTATTAAATATGTGGTTGACATATCTATTCCTGTAACTTAATAGCTGAAATATATCCTCAGTTCGGTTGAGCTAAAAAGACCATATCAGTATGAATATAAATAGGTTTGAGCAAACTCTTGATGCCAAAATAAATGATTTATTCATTTCATTTATTCACCAAGCAATTGGGTATGAGCCACACTATAAACTTGAAGATTAATGATACTATCTGGTTATCGAAACCAAATTATGTGGAGCTGTGCTTGAGCCTGAGACGAAGTAGCTGAAATTAGAATATCTTGACCACCACTATTCTCAACATATTGTGCATGTTCTTATTACCTAAAAACACTTGACTACACATATGCAGCTGCAATAATTTCTAGTATTCAGAATCAGCTAATTCATAACATTCCCGTCACAATCAAATGTGACAATTCCCTCTTAACTTTTTACTAGTCAAATTCAGTGAATATCATGCAAATTACGGTTCCGGCTAAAAAACGGTACCTTTAGCTTTACATCACTGCTAAATATCGATTAACGAGAAGTACTGTTATGATTTAATTTTCATTAGATAGCCTTTACGTAAGTAAATCTGTAGTAACCATGGTGGTCCAGACGTACGATTACTGCTTGTTCACATCCATCAACATGGCTTATTCCTCCATGACCCAACTTCAAGTCATACTAGCATAAACCTTCACTCAACTTTTACAGTTCCGCCTATTTCACAAGTCTCAAACATCACAAATCTTAAACCACGAACATCCTACAAGCTCACTTTAATCGCCCTATAATCAAAATACAAAATACTTAACATGAACAATTCAGGCTATTATTGTGATTCTGATTATTAGAGTCATCACATTTTATGGAACAATTAGTCTTCAAGTCTGTTCTTCTATTAAACTCTAGACTTTAAACAGTCGGATCATAGCTTACCTACCTCTAAAGTAGAAAACATTTACCAGTATTATCACAGTATCATCTGGAATATCATTTGTAAAGAATTTCTCCAATAAACCATTAGACTGTTGATCAACCCAATCATTGATATCAACTGTAGCACTAGTTCGATTAGAAAAATCCACCTAGAGTAATGAACATTAAAAATTTGTAAGCGTTAATTAATTCTAATGAACAAATACTAACAGAATTAATGACTTCATTCCGATTATGATTACCGATAGAAAGCTTTGGAGATGTCGTGATCTTTAAGTTGGATCATTTATTTGTATATAGTTCGTCGTTGTGAATAACATCAACAGCATATGCTTCAAAGATAAGTGAGTCATTACAATAGTAGTAAACTTTAAAACAAAATCAGTTCTATACATGAATAGATCTTTGACTAGATTACACTCAGAGGTAAAGTCGTGCGACATTAGAACCACTACTATTCCAATCCAGTTCTATGTAATTCTGTTTAGTAATTGAACGATATTGCTTACTGTTGCAAATGAAGTCCAGTATAAACGCGAGCACACGAATCTGCAGTTGGTTAGTACAACAAAAAGAGCCAAGTTTGTCTCGATTAAGTCATTTTAGTCTAATTCATTAAAAATGTCTAAATGCCCTTGATTTTCAAAACGGAATTATTAGATTGCGTTTCTCAAGTTTCGTTTTACTTACTTACGCTTGTTACCTCTCATGGAGGAACATAGGCCAACTACCAGCATTCTCAATCCAAATCTGTCATGGGCAATCGTTTCCAGTTCCTATTCAGCCGTTTCATGTCGGTTTTTGACTCCAGAAGCAGTGTGTTTTTCGCCCTTCCATTTTTCAGTTTCCATTCAGGATTCCAAGTTAGCACCTGCCTAGTGATGCAGTTTGGTGATTTCCTCAATACGTGTCCTATCCACACTTGCAGCGTCTTTTCCTTATTTCCTCCTCAGCTGGAAGCTGGTTCGTCCTCTCTTATAGTAGGCTGTTGCTGATGATATCCGGCCAAAGAATATTGAGTTTCCTGTGTAGACAATTGTTTATAAATACTTGTACCTTATTGATGATGGTTGTGGTAGTTCTTGAAGTTTCAAGTTACGTCTACTCAACCTCAAGCCTTATTTAGTTTACTATACAATAACTGATACTTGGTACTTATTAGATAAACCATTTTATGATTTCATTATGATTCTCTGAAATAAAATATTACACACAATACTTTTGCATGATGGAAATATTTTTAGTATCATAAGGCGATTTCGTGGGTTTTATAGTAATTTATTATAGTAATTACTAATGAAACTACTATAATATCCACAAAAACCCCTTTCTGATACTAATCAGCATATGCTCACTAGTGACTGGCTTCAAGAGGTATTTCCTGGAGTTCTAATGTAAAGCAGTGATCAGTGGAGTTCAAACGGGTCTATTGTAAGATAGTAACTCACTGATGATAATGGTTGGTGTGTCGCTCAATTTCGTGAATTAGTTGAAGTTAGACATTAACAACATTGGATCCCGGCCGGCTCAGTTGTGTAGAGGTTAAGCATTCGAGCGCGAGACCGATAAGTCGTGGGTTGGAATCTCGTGAATTGGGATCGTGGATGCGCACTGCTGAGGAAGCTCCATAATAGGAAGAGTTGGCCGTCGAGTACTTCCAGGTTTTCCATAGTGGTCTAGTTTCAATTGACCCATACTCTCAACTACAGAAAATATCTTTAGTAAACTTAGTAATTCATTGATAAACAATCAGAATTTTCCACAATTCATTGTGTTCATATTGATCTCATCAAATTAACTATGATATATGGTTTCAGCTAACCTACTTCTTCGGTTTTTCAGCTTCTACATAGTGTAATAAAATAACATGGAACTATCATATACATTTTAAAATATCAATTTTATTAATCCTAGTTATTAAGTAATTCACAAACTGATTTCAATCATGTTATCCAATTAACCTGTTTACAATATATCTTAATTAGAACTAATAAATTATATTATTTCACTTTTTCACAACTTACTTATTATTACTGTAAATGATAATCATGGGTTTAAGATTTTGTTTATATTTACACATGAAAATAAAATTATACCAATGAATACCAATTTACAGACACATGGTATAATGAATATACAGTTGAGAATGTGTACTAATTTAAATCACTAATCTATGTTACCTATTAGGATTATTAACAAAATAAACATTTGAAGGTGTTTATATTACTGAATCTAAACTTGTGTTTCAAAATATAAGTTATCAGTTTTATGCTTGACCGTAGCTGCTACCTTGACGCGGTGGTCGGGCTTGCCTATCGTGATGACCCAACCGAGCGATATTGGCTGGAACATATGTTCCTGTAGGTGCTACCATGCCAGGCAGGTCGATTGGAGAACGGTAAGACTAAAAGCAGCAACTCAAGGTCTGAGGGCGAAGTCGTACTGCTAACTATAGAGGGGTGTGACAGTAGTAAAGTGTTTCCCTCGGACAACCAGCATCTGCAGCGATGGTGCCTTCTCACAAGGAAGGAAAGGGTTAGAAAAGGTTAACCCTAAAAATGTCACACCTCACTTTACCTCACGGATTTCCGTCTCCGACAGTGATTCCCTTTGAAGAACGGAGCTAACAGGTTAAAATACACTCACAAAATGACCGTGCGCAACCGGCCTCAAGCAGTTGTCCCTTGGGTTCTGCGGTCACGCTCCCAGGTCGTTAAGATCAACACTAATCCAACTTCTTTTTCAGGTTCCGCAAGAAATACCCTTCCACGGTGTGGGCAGCCGGGAAGTGATACCAGCCTACATACCTGTAACAGCACAAGAGACCGAGTTGGTCACATTCAAATTCTTCCTACACCTCCTAATACCTCTCTTATCTCCACGACTAACCCTTCCCACGTCCCTTTATCACCTTGCACCGCTTGGGCAAACGATTCGAGCACGCGGAACCTTATTCCTGGTCTCCTGAAACCACGCTCTAAACTTCATGTTGGAGCTTATAAAGTACGAACACTGTGCCAAATAGGACAACAGGCTTCCTTAACTGGGAATTTAGAATCTCGCACCATCGATGTGCGCTGCGCCTCCGAAACGCTCATTCAGGACCTGAGCAGAGTCATTCATTTGACCTCACCGTGCCAAAATAAAGAACCGAGTCGATTCACACTTCGTGTATCTGGAAGACCTTATGCTGCTTCTCGTTGACTCGCTGGCGTAGGTATAGCATTGAGTCCTAGGGCAGAACTCGCTCTCTTAGAGTGGATCCCAGTAGACACTCGCTTGTGCTCTGTCCGACTAAACGAAACAGTGAGGACTCGGAAAGATAGGGACACCCGTCGTTGCCTCTTCGTTGTCTCTGCCTATTCTCCAACTGACTGCAGCTCAGACGATGCAAAAGATGAGTTGTACAGAAAGCTTTCCGACCTTCTCCGAAAAGCTAGGCACTCTGATGTAGTAATATGGGGCCGGTGACCTTAATGCTCAAGTAGGTAAACTAAGCGAAAGAGAAAGACACCTAGGTGGATCTTACAGTGTCGTGGCTCAAAGAACAGATAATGGCGACCGTTTGTTGTAGCTATGCACAGATAACCGCCTCTTTCTTGCAAATACTAACTTTATGCATAAGGAAAAACGTCTTTTAACATGGCGACCTTCTAATTCTTCCCAACGTTGGACACAAATCGATCACATCGCTCGCCATCAGCCACCGATGAAGAGGCTCGATAGAAGACTGTTGCCCATTCTGGATCACATGCTTAGACTCAGATCATGCTCTAGTGTGAGTGCGTATTTGTCTATGTCTTACTGGACGTAGGAAAGACGCTGTAAGTCAACCTTTTAGGGCCCTACTTAATGATAGTCAAGCTAAGAGTATGTTTCAGGAACAACCAGAAAAAGTTAAGCAGACATGTATGTGATGCCCGCTCCGAGGCAGCGTGGAATGATATCCGTAAAGCTGTGGAAACAACAGCGATATCTGCTAGTACGATAAACCGTAAGGTTAGGGAGCAACACTGGATCTCAGCAGCATCTACCGCACTGATAGATGCTCGAAAACTCATACCATCTGGCTCTAAACATAACGAAGATCGGAGTCAGCTTAGGCGCAAGCTGAAAAAAAGCCTAAGTAATGACCGTAAACAGTGGTGTGTAGCGAAAGCAGCAGGCCCTGACAGGTTTACTCCTGAGACTTTTAAGGATGGTGGTCCAGTATTAGCAGTGAGATTAACTGAGGTTTTAGGTAGAATTTGAAACTAAACGTAATCCTATCTGACTGGTCTCAATCACTGATTGTGCCAGTTTTTAAGAAAGGGCAAAAGTCCTCTTGTGACAATCACAGAGGAATCAGTTTGAATAATATAGTGTCTAAAGTATTAGATTCAATTATACTTCGACGCCTAACTAAAGCTCTTGAATAGCAGACTAGAGAATACCATGCTGGTTTTCGACATGAACGTGGTTTTATAGACCAGATTTTCACACTACGTGCAGTAGTTCGTTCCGTCCTACTTTATGGCAGTGAAACATGGACGGTAAGAGTAGAGGATATTCTTAGGTTACTAGTATTTAATCATAGGTATCTTCGAAACATTGCACGTATACCCTGGGACCACCGAGTAAATAACTTAGTTTTTAGGATACGGGTACTAGGTAAGGATTGAAAATAAATTGATGAAGTAGTGAAACTTCATCAATTGAGATGGCTGGGACACGTGTTACGTAAGCCCGACGACCGACTACCTCGACGTGCGATGTTTTACGGTGTAGGAGTAGTTGGACGAAAACTAGGGGCAGCCAGACGAAAGCGTGGCACAAGTCCATGACGTCACTGACAAGTGGACTGAGTCATGTTGGTAAGTGTAGACTACCTGGTTGGGGACCGCGAGATGATAGCAACCGATGGTTGGAGACCCTCAATGATATGGCTCAAAATCGTATGCAATGGAGCAGGTGCATCCACTCTTTGTGTTCTCCCAAATTCTAATCTCCTGAATCCTCCTTGTCTCTTTTTTTCTCTTTCAAAATTTATTTCACTGGATTATACTCCTTGAATAACATCTTCAAACCCTAATCTCTCCGATTACTGCTTATAGTCTTACTACCTCTACCACTACGGGACTTGAACCGACAATTGCATCTCTGTGCTAATGTGGCACGGCAACTCGAAATGATGTACTTAAGTACGAAGTTTTACGTTGTTACTGACTGACCATCAGTTTTGAGAAATATTGTATTCTGAAACAGTTAGTGATCTTAGATTGTCGGGGTTGGTTTCATGGTTCCCTACCTGATGTCATTTCATAATAATATCAAACAAAAATTAAGTAGTCCGAGTTATCTCATAGTAAGTTAAAATATATACAATTATAAACTAGTACGGAACTGAAACTTTGAGAACTACCACAATCATCACCAAAAAGGTATAAGTATTTATAAATAATTATCTACACAAGATACTTAGTGCCTATTGACCAGATACCATCAGCACCAACTTAATGTAGGAGAGAACAAAACAGCTTCCAACGGAGGAGGAAATTAGGGAAAAATGTTGCAAGCGGTTAGGACATATATTAGGGAAATTACCAAACTGCATCACGAGGCAATCACTAACTTGGTATCGTGAATGGAGACGGAAAAGTGGAAGACCGAAGACCACGCTGCTTCGGGTATTGGAAGCAGACCTGAATAGGAATTGGGGCGAGACTATAATTTATAGATAACATTTGAACGAATATTAAGTGACCCTGGAAAATATTAGCCAATCAGCAAGCAGTCAGTATGGATTAGAAATAAATTATGCAAAACCAAAGAATTAAAGTGGATACACATCTTTTACATGGTTCAAAAACTTGTCAAGGTTAGAAAGAGGTTCAGAGGTTCTAAAATCGTAATGCATGCAGCAGAGGAAATCATCCATATGGCTACAGAATAGTTGGTCACTGAAGCCATGATAAATACTCAAAAACACGTTCAGCCTCGACCACATAGCTTCAATATTGTTTGTATGCACTGCGGTTGTTGAGTACACAAAATGTCACTTGTGGATAACGAAACGATACACATAACCAAGTCTATATAGGAGTCTGTACACTCTCCAATCATCCGTATGTATTGTAGTATCTGGCTGCAACCAATGTTACTAGTGCTTTCATTATCCAGTTCGCAATAATTGTCATGACTTGCCTTAGTTAGGAATTATATAGAGTTTTCATCACGAACTGACATCAGCTATAGTGCCAAGACTCTATTTAGCCAAATGGATGGAATTCTTTCCTGCCAAAATCCGAGATCTGTTATCTTATACTTGGTTGGTTCGTCCACAAATTATAGCCTAGCCGTCTAATTTGTTATCGGTGCTTGTATAAAATCCCCTGTGAACCGATCGTACGTTAGCATTAGGTACTGAAGTTGGTGCTGTGACCTTGAAATCCCTCGAACGCTTATGATTGGCTCGTCCATAAATTGGAAATG